GGCTCCGTGCCTGGTAGCGGGACAGCACGGCGCGGTAGTGGGACAGCTCCTGGCGCACGGCCACCACCTCCTGCCTCAGCAGGGCGTTCTCCTTCTCCAGGAAGGCCGCCCGCACCGATATCTGGTTCTCCTTAAGCCGCCGGGCGTCGCGGGACCGCTTGGCTGCCTCGTTATTCTTGTACCGCCGACTCCAGTACTTCTCGTCCTGGGGGTGCAGAGGTGGAAAAGCACTGAGGTCCAGAGGGGCCCCGGCCACAGCGGACGAAGAAGGGAGCAGCAGCTTTGCTTGTTCCTTCAAGCACCTGAGGGGATCTAAAGGAACTTCACGGCTGCTGCTTGCCCGGCAGTGGGGTCTCAAGGACACGGGGTCTCCCCTGAGACGGGTATCCAAGGGTCTGCCCATCTCGGGCCCTGGTTGCTAAGGAGAGCGGGACCCTAGCGAAGGCTAGGGCATGAGAGGGCCTCCCACCCCCAACAACTGGGGCTCAAGTCCCCAATGTGCAAAGCAGAGGCCACCCTCCTCCCTTGACAAAGGGCTACAGTTAGCTCCTGGTTGCTAAGGATGCTTGTTCCCTAGCAACAGGGCTTTCCGGGTGTGAGATCCCGGTGAAAAGCACTGCCCTATACATCACCTTTCCAGATCCTGGTTGCTAAGGAAAGTCCAGCCGCCCCAGTGCAGGGATTTGATAAAGTCCTCCCGGAAGCTGGTCCCTTTGGCCCTGGTTGCCAAGGCAACTTCATCCCTCCTCATCAAACAAAAGTCAAGTCTAAGTGGTCCCAAAGACTGCAGCTGGTCTCTGAACTGGCCTTGAATAGAAATAAGCCGGGGAGTTGGGGCCCCCTCCCCCACCCAGCAGGTCCCAGTTGTGCTTTAGTGAAGGAGCTATGCTGAGCCCTCCCCACAAGACGATGCCCAGGGGTCTTCAGTCCTAGAATTGGGCTGCAAAGGCGGGCCGCTCCTCACTGCCAAGGAGCACCCAGAGTTCTGAAACATGCCCCCTGATCCCCCTTTAATTAAAGCCGAGTTCCTGCTTGCTAGGGCAAATCCAGTCCCTAGCGACAGGACCCCGTGGCAGGAGAAACACTGCTCTAGATGGGGCTTGCGGGCCTATCCTAGCTGCTTCGAGCAGTGGTGTCTTACATGAAGGCAGGGCCCAGTCTTGTGAGAGAAGCCCAGACACCTCCCGTTGGGGGAGACCCCAGAACTGGAAGAGACAGAATGCTAGAAAGATGAGTCACTGCCCAGAGCACCCAAATCGGAATGTGGTCCTGGCTGACAATCAGAACCCGAGGCCTCTCGCCAACAAGGCAGCTCAGACCCAGGAAATGAGGCCTAGAGAGCTGACAAAGTCTGCATCCTAGGCAGATGCAATCACACCAAAAGGATGCCTCAGATCAGAGATCAAGAGACAAGCCCTCGCCTGGCTGGCTGAAAAGAGACAGGCTGATAACCCATCGCTGAAAAATGCTGTCCTTAGCAACTGAGCCCAGCCGCCTGCAGCCTGCCTGCCTCGCTGAAAGGTCTGGGTCCAAATCTGTACAGCTGGGTCCAGCAGGGCTGGCTATGTCTGTGTCCCATAATTACGCCATCTTCAGAAATCTCAAGCCCAACACTTTGCCCCCTTGCATCCCATGGCCAAGGAGGACTGGCTCCGGGCTGCAGGAGAACCTGAGAGTTAATCCTGAGTGTGAGGGGCCCAGGCGGTGGGGGCTGCGCTGGCCAAGCCCGCATCCTACATCCGGCGGTGCTCACCTTCTGCTCCTCTGGCACCTGGATCTTCCTCGCCTTCTTCATGATGGGCTGGGGCTTAAGTTCCTCCTCTGAGAACCGATGTCTCCGAGGGTCAAAGGTCTCATGGCCCGGAATGCTTGACAGGGCTAAGTCAGCAGGGTCAGGTTCAAAGGTCATCAGCACCTCCACGGTATCTGGGTCCACAGGGCTGGGTGTGTCCCGAGAGGTCAGGCCTTTAGGAAATAAAATGTATCGCCTGAGTGCGTAGTGATTTTGGGAAGGAGGTTCCCAGATGCTACCCTCTGCGCAGGTATCACATCCACCACAAGGAAGGCTACCATAGCTCGCAGGGATCAACCCTAATATAAACAGGAAGGTTCCCTAAGCCATAAGGAGGCTTAGAAATACTGAAACCAACTCCACTTTTACAAACAGGGAAACGGAGGCCCGATCGTTACTTAACTTGCCCTAAGTTATACTTGAGCCTGGGGGCTATTGCTGCTAAAACCTCCGGCCTTCAGAGTCCGTGTTAGTTCTTCCCCATCGGCCAGCCTGAATCCTTCCCGAACCCGTGGCCAATGCCTAGACCTGTCCGGAAAAAATGGAATCCAGGGCACTGAAAAGACCCCAAGAGCCTCTCAAAGAACAATTAGCTCTCAGGCGTTAGGGAAGGGAAGCAGAAAGGGCTCCGAGATCCCAGGAGGTTGGCTCAAGGGGGAGCAGGTGGCCTGCGCCTTTAAGAGCAAGCGAGCAGGGTCAGCCGAGGACACCGGTTCAGGGCCGAGTCACGTGCGGGCGCCTGCTTCCTCCGCACCCCGCCAGCCGCTGGGGCTCCCTCACGTTCCCCAAGCCCCGCCCCCTCGCGCGTGACCGCGCGTGCGCGGAGCAGGGAGGAGGTTAGGAGAGGACTCACGTGGCGCGGGAGTGTGCGGCTGGCAGGGGGAGGGCCCTGGCTCTGCCCGGAGGTTGGACCCGTGGCAGGTGTGTCCGGGATTCCCCGACCGACCAGCTGCCAGACCCTGGAGACCCCAAGATGCCAGAGGGAGCACCCCTTTCCTCTCGCTCCTTCGGGTCTCTCGGCTCGAACTTCTCAACCTCCGAGGATCCAGTCCCCCCTGCTCTCTGGGGAACACGGGAAAACCGGTCCCCTCGACCTTCTCCCCTGCGCCCTAATCCCTTCGCCATTGGTGTGCACACGATTCTGCAATCCCGCCCCCCCTCCCCCTTTTCCAGGAATATAGGAAGCTCGGCCCTCGCCTCCATGGGAGACCTGGAATGAAGTTCCTCGGCCTTCTCCCCTCTGGAGTGCAGGACCCGAGGCCCTAGGCCCTTTCCAATGGGGAGGACCCCGAAAC